TGCGCTAAAGTCAAGGTAGAGTACCAAAAGCCATCAGGATTACTAGAGCAACCCGAAATACCCGAGTGGAAGTGGGAGCGAATAACCATGGATTTCATAACCAAATTACCCAAAAACAACAGGTGGACTAGACACCATCTGGGTAATCGTCGATAGATTAACAAAATCCGCACACTTCCTACCCATAAAGGAAACCGACAAGATGGGGAAGCTAGCTCGAACATACATCCGAGAGATTGTACGACTACACGGGTACCAATATCCACCATCTCCGACAGAGATAGTAGGTTCACCTCAAGATTCTGGCAGTCGCTGCAAAATTCTCTAGGAATGAGGCTAGATATGAGTACCGCTTACCATCCACAAACCGACGGTCAAAGTGAAAGGACCATACAAACCTTGGAAGATATGCTAAGAGCTTGTGTAATCGATTTTGGTAAAGCATGGGATACCCATTTACCACTAGTCTAATTCTCATACAACAATAGCTATCACTCCAGCATTAAAGTTTCTCCATTCGAAGCCCTATATGGCCGCAAGTGCAGATCACCATTGTGTTGGGCTGAATTGGGTGACACACAACTAGCCAAGGGACAAGTACCCGACAGCGCTCTCACAGGCCCGGAAATCATAAGAGAAACAAATCAAAAGATCATTCAGATTCGGGAACGAATAAAGGCTTCAAGAGACAGACAAAAGAGTTATGCGGACTAAAGACGGAAGCCCTTGGAATTTCAGGTCGGGGACCGAGTGCTATTAAAGGTTTCGCCCTGGAAAGGGTTAATACGTTTCGGAAAATGGGGGAAACTAAACCCAAGTTATATCAGACCATTCGAGATCCTTGCAAGGATCGGTCCGGTAGCATATAAACTTTGACTACCGCAGGAACTCAATAACGTACATCCTACCTTTCACGTGTCAAACTTGAAGAAATGTTTGTCCGATGAGACCCTCGTCGTCCCTCCAGACAAAATTGAAATCAACGAGAGTCTCCACTTTATAGAGGAACCAATTGAGGTCATGGATAGGTAAATTAAAAGAACAAAGCAAAGTCACATACCCATTGTGAAGGTCTGTTGGAATGCAAAGCAAGGACCTGAATACACTTGGGAGCGCGAAGATCAAATAAAACAAAAGTATCCTCATCTTTTTCCCTAATCCACCAATATTTATCTTACATTAAATTTCGGGACGAAATTCCCTCTAACGGGGGGATGATGTGACAACCCGATATTTCAAATCAATGTAATGACCTAAAAAGTCAAGAATTGTAACCCCTTTTAATATAATGAAATTATTGTCGAAAAATGAAATGTTCAAAAGTCATCTACTGGATTTCATAAATGATAATTATCATGTCAAGGTTTTCAGAAATATAAAAAACACTAAAATCCGGGTTATAACGAAGAAGTTATGACCAACCTCAGATTCACAACAAAACTGTTAATACGATTAAACGTAAAATGCGAAGTTTTAATAAAATACTTTTTAACCTTAAGTATCTAAATGAAAATTGTAGATATCATTAAACCGTGAACATACATAAAAAGAACGCCCAAATCTGACTGCGTATTGGGAAGTTATGATTTTTCGAAGTTTCGGATATAACAATAGACAGCTAAAAACTCGAAATAGAGATCGATGGATTTTTGACCGAAACAATCTAAATGAGAATCGAAGACCCCAAAAATGGTAGTATAAGGGTAAAAAGTCTGCCGAAAACAGACATCGAATAAAGAAGTTACGGAGTTTTAACGGACCTTTCGTGTCCCGGCCTGTTAAAAATAATATAATTAAAATAAATTCAAAATTAGCCAACAGAGTCTAAATGAAAGTTATATAGTACATTCTCACCTACGAGTGGATATAAAGAACACAAAAAACGGAGCTCGTACGCAAAAGTTATGCAAGTTGGAAGTTGGAAAATCCATTTACGCCCCGTGTAAACGATTATGCCCAGCGTACCAGAGGATAGGAGCCTCGTCCCATCGGACAGAAGCCCTCTTATCCGAAGTGCATAAGCAAGGACGTCACATTACGCCCCGCGTATCCCCGTACCCCAGTGTACCGAGGCGGTTCAGCCTCCCTATAAAAGGGATGCGAGGGTTTCGGGCAAAATTGCTCATTTCCTCTCTTTCTCCTACGTTTTTACTTCGTTTTGCATGAAAGCAATATCCCGAAGCCCCAGTTTTCATACCCAAGTCCCGAAGGAAGTTTTACGCTCCCGAGATTCCCGAGAACCCGTTTTCTCCTGTCGAAGTTCTGCTCGGTTTTCATCTCACCATCTTCACTCTATCAAGTGAGTTCATACCCCTATAACTACGTTTTCAAATGCTTTTTAAATGCTTTTATACATTTTTAAAGGGTAAGAATACAAGTAAACACACGATTATCCTCGTGTGAATAACATAAATCTTTTGTTATACTTGTCGTTATAATCAATCATGTGTGATTTATAACTATCATATGGAAACATTTTCATGCAACATATCACGATAACACTTTGTCTTTTTGGAATAAAACAAGTTGTTATATAAATATCAAACACTTTACACATATTTTGAGTATAAATGCTCAATAATGTTACACCTTAGATATAAAGTCGACACTACAGTAGAGTTTACCATACAAACAAAACATACTTTTGGAAAAACTATAATAGGTATAGTTTACTAGATATTCATGAGATTTTACATACTATAAGTAGTATATCAAGGAAATAATTTCATATACAAGAACAAATGGACTTTTCATACGCAAATCTGTTTGATACTAAGTTTTGTGAGACATTCCACTTCACGTACTTTCAAGTATGTCGTTAAAGTCATGTATTATATACCATAATCTCTTGTAGGGAGAGCGTGATACTTGTGTATAGATCTATACGGGATTGACAATCCCGCACCTAAACTGTTAGGTACAGTTAGACCGGCAGGTCTGGGGTGACATACATCATAACATTCCAATGCCTGAAGAACGTTGTTACAGACAGCCTAAGTCAATAGTATGGGTATAAAACTTGCATGGAGTATTAAAAACACGATGATTTACGGGGTTATCAAATGTCTTAGTGATTTTATACATACATAAATCTATTATTCTAGGCATGACAACTACAAATACATTACAGTTTTGGAACTCATAAGCTACCACACTCATGGAAAAATATTGGATTTTTCAGAAGTAAACTCAGTGATTTATACCAAACTTACAAATTTTATACATAAACGCTTATGAACTCACCGACTTTATTGTTGACACTCTTTCAAAACTACTTGTATTTCTCAAGGATTCAGTAATACAGGTAGACTTCAACTTTTGGAGAAGTGACGCTAAGTTGTCAGTTTAAAACTCATTTTTGTCATCATATTGTAATTTGTTATGAACAAGTATCATTCAACAATGTAACTTTTAAATTATATATGTGATAGTTGTTTTACTTTCTTTACTATGTATTCAATTGTTACGATACTACATGAAGTCATCCGCCCTCGAACGATTCCGCCGTTCTGGTTTGGGTGTGTGACATATAAGTATCATATACTTATAAAATATGTATTTGGTAGCAACGGGTGATGAGAGATAGGTGATGATAAGTAGGTGAAGATAGATATGTGATGATAAATAGGTAATGCAATATAAGAGATGATTAGGAGATGTCATAACCTTGACTTGCGATGTTATGATGTAGTCATCTACCAGAGTATAGATAGCGACTACTGACTAATATAAACAAGTCATGTGGAAACATCAGTAGGCTCATAACTTGTAGGTGATAAATTACAAGTTCAGGCAATATAGTAACTACGTACTCATGTGATGATACTCTAACCTCTATTAGACACGTATTGAAGGAGTAATCCCCGAATCAGTACTGTTTATGCGATGTAGGCGATGATCCTTAAGGAAAGTCCTTAGGAACAAACATATAAGGAAATGTGATATAAGGAGATTAGAGGTAAATACAATGTAGGAGATGACCCTTAGGATAAATCCTTAGGGAAGAATAAAAAAAATAAGGATGGGTAATCAGATTAATTGTTTGACATGAAATATGTGAAAAAACATATTAACTATAATATTGTGAATTGAAAACCCTATGTACTCATCAGGTTTCCCAACCTGACTCACTTAATTTATTGTATCACAGGTGGCATCCCAATGTTTTAAATAAAAATATATTTTTTCGGAAATGCTTTGATAACATCTTTATCATGTTTTCAGAAAACAAATTCTGCAATACTATTTTTCACAAATGATACTCTGATTTTTAAATAAACATAAACAAATCGGTTATTTTTGACGTGAAAACAAAGATATCACAAGTAAGTCTAACAAGTCTACAACAATATCATACGTTGGATTAAAGAACCTTCAGAATTTTATGTTTATCTGTTTCATAGTTATTTGACTTTCACAAACTTTACATGAATATGTATCATACTTTAACGATCATACAAATCAAAGTAAGAAATTATAAAGTAAGATAATACTAATTGCGCTTAATTAGTAAAGTTTTATTCATGCAAATGCACCATCTAAGATGTTGGGTTAAGTCCCACAATGAGCGGAATCCTCCTGTTAAGTTGTCATTATTGAGTTTGGAACCATGAATGTAGTTTAACATGTAACCTATATATTTGTCTGCAATAAGTACAAAATCCGGAAAATTGAAACATGACGATTTACTTATTCCTAATAAATATATTGATTTTTTCAGATTCCTTACACTTTAATTGACTTGTATTAAAAAAAAAATCTGCAATAAGTACAAAATCCAAAGAACATTTCAAGAATAAACCGAATCGTTTGTCTTTTTTCTTGTTATGAATCTATCAATCAATAACAAGAGTTGATGCGGAATTTTGTTATTTGTTTACACAAGAGACAATACGTGTTTTATGATTAATTTCAACAAATAACTTTAAATCTTTAATCATTTAACCATAAGCAAACTCTCTCTGACAATTTTTAAACTACAATGTTTTTTTTTTTTTTTTTTTTTTTTTAATTCAAACAAAGCTACTTATATCCCTCAGTGTTTAATAACAAAAGCCCCAAAAACAAACCAAACCCATAATAATAATAATAATATATAACACCTATAATCTATCATCTATTCCCATTTTTCTTTCCTTTCTTAAAACTTTGTTTTGATGATGGATATGGGGTTGCTGTATGTCCACCTTTCTTCCCATCTGCAAATACCATTTCACCCATTGTATTAAAATAAAAAAGATATTTAATTGACTCATAAAAATAAAATAAAATTAAAAAAACTAAACCTGTTTTTTGTGGAGCGTTGGATTTTCGTTTCTTTTCAGAAACCGGTGTCTTTGGTGCACTTTCAGCAGCTCTTTTTCCAGCTTGAACAGGTTTCTTCACAGGCTTCACTTCTTCTTCTTCTTCTTCATCTTCAGAGTCATCTGAGTCATTCATATCATCATCTGAGTCATCATCATCTTCTGATTCCGAGTCATCTTCTTCAGTTACATCCTTCAAAGATGCTTTTGACTTACCATTAGCAGTAACGTTGATTGCTTCTTCTTCATCATCATCATCAGGACCTAAAAGAAATCCAAATTCATTCAGAAACTAGAATGATCAGACAATATAAAATTAGTTGCAGTGAAGACTTACCATATCTATAGTCCGTGATACCCGAAGAACACAGAAGGGTTAAGGAAAAAACGATTAGCATAAACTCAAATGATTAACAAGTAACGAAGATTAAATTAATCATCAACAAAGGATATTCGTCTGGGTTACTTGCGAAGTATCCACAGAAGTAAACGCTTCCATCCTTCCAGCCATGAGAAAGCTCCACATCTTTCTCAAATAGCAAATCGAACAAAAGTTGCGGTATACGTTCAGAAGATAAAGTTGCTAGAACGAACTTTTGATCATTGAAGTTGACACGAACTTGGACATTCTCGACTTTTTTCCGATTCTTCACCTCTCCCAATGCAACCTGAAAGTGATAATAGTCCGATTAATAACTAATAAGCATGTTGTGTTAAGTTAGCTAAACCTGAACTTAAAAAGGAACATGGACATGATTGCTACATAGAATGTTATGTTGAGTTCGTATTGCATACGAAGTAAGATTGGCATTAGAAATTTCTGAATTCGTAAATCAAAAACAGTTTATTTGAGTAAATCCAGAGATTAATTTATGAAAAAATAACAATTTGATGAGTCGAATGTTCCTACCTGAGAGATGTGAAGGAGCTTGAAATCCTCGACTGTGATTTTAAGGGTTTCATTAGGTTTAACTTCAACACCTAGCAAAAACAACAAACTTCGAATTGAATATTTTGCACGCAACACAACAACAAACTAAAACACGGTTTACAGTAATTGCTACAGCAGATAGATTGAAGGACAACTAAAAATTGCTTCGTTTTTGCAATCAAATATAGATATACGGTGCATAAAACGAACTGAATATTACCCCAAAATTCCATTGCTGATCGGATGCGATTGGAGGAATGAAAGAATGTTTGTTTGAAAGAGTTGAGGAGAAAAGACGGATGAAGAGGAGACGTTTGAAACAAGTATAAATAGGTGAAGTTGCCGTTGAAGGTTTAGGGTTTATCAGAGAGTTTTTGGGAACCTTCTATTTTCGAATTCATTCTAAACCGAATCAATGGAAGGGTGTTATAAAAAATAGAAACCCAATGTGTTTATTTGGTTATAGCTTGATTTGGGTTAAATTTTTATTATTTTCTTTATGGTTAATACCGTAAAAACCATTATTTATCCATACCTAAAATTGTTATTTGTCCTAAAACCTCTCATTCACTATTGGTTTGTTGTTGTTCCTCACACATCACGTCTTCTTCTCCATGGCTTCGTCCTCAACATCTTCTATTATCAAACCGATTTATCGCACCAAGTGTGATTGTGGTGATCAACTGCGTAATACTCAGTTTCAAGAACTGATAAAAACTCAGGAAGAAAATTCAAACCATGCCCTAATTATAAGGTAAAATTAAGGGATTTTGTTTCCCATTTTATTATCTTTCAAAAGTTATTAAATGAAGATTTTGTTGGCAGGGTACCAAAAAAGAGTGTAAATATTTCAAACGGCTTGAAACGGATGAGTTAGAGTTTTATGCTAATGAAAGGGAACCTTATAACGAAATTGTTGCCAATGTTGTACTAAAGGTGATCAGTTTGCTAAAGTTTGTTTTGGTGATGTTAGATGATTATTGAAGTAATTCTTATAATTGGCATTGTATTTTAAGAACCACTTGGTTAGGGTAGTTGTAAGTTTTTGTATTTTGGTAGGCTTAAGGTATTGCAGTAAAAGTAGTGGCTGTAAGGATATTGTAGGTTTGTTATTTTGGTTTGATGTAAGAACCAATTGGTTAATTGTTGATTTCGGAATGTAATGTTTATGTAAAATTATATTGATGGTAATCCAATGCTATTTATGACCCATGTGATTTGGTACTGCATTATAGTGATTCATTACAATGTAGTTATGGTAATGTACTAAAAGTTGTGTAATCAGGTAAAGGACAATAACTGGAATGACAATTAACTTATGATTGTAAGCAAGTGAAATGACAAGCAAAGGGGATATTACTAAAACTTGTGTAAGCAAGTGAAATGACAAGCAAAATGAAATGGCGTTAATCTTAAATACTTGCATTCTTAATAACATAAAAGGGGGTATTACAATTAGAACTAAACATCCAATTGCCCAACAACCTTTCAAATGGCCATTAACTACCAATGTTCAAAAAGGCCTAACTGAATACTACTAGATGCTAATATACAATTGGATGGTTGTTACCAAAAGCTGATGTAATGTTAACAAAAAGGGCAAGCAAAATACATAGTACCCATGATACCCCCTCCTAGATAGTCCTACTCCAAATTAACTGGTTTCTCAATACTAGAACCCCTTCCATCCTTATCATGAACCGCTTTCTTCGGCTTGATCTTCACAATTCTCTCAGAAATCTTCCTTTTCATAGGTCTCCCAACAACTTGTGTATCTTCAATGAATTCATTATCCTCATCAATTTCCTTGTCATCTTCACTAACCCAAGCATAAGCATCTAAATCTTGTATAGCAACTTCCCCTTGCACTGGTGGCACAAGGTCACGTATGACACCTCCTTCTGTTTCCAAGTGATCTTCAATCTCATTAACATCTACACCCTGTAAGACATAATGCAGCTAAATACCCTATTTAAATCACATATTAATTATAAGAAATTTAAAGTAAAAGTTGGCATACCATTTCCAAGTTATCTTCAAGCAAGTTATCTTCAATCTCATTAACATCCTCTTCTAAATCTTCTTCCAAGTGATCTTCAATCTCATTAACATTTACATCATATGTCGTATGATGAATTTAAGAATTAAAACACAAATGAGGCAGTTATAAGAAATTAAAAATAGAGTTTGGCATACCATTTCCACTGGTGACACAGGTTCTCCAAAGTCTGCGATCTCATGAGGTTCATAACCACATTCCTGCAACATCAATACATCATCATTGTAAGCAATGATTGGAGGTTCGACTGCATTTTCTGGGGGGCCCTCCAGAAACATTTCATCAAAGGTTTCCACATTTTCCTTAATACCAACATCTGCAGTTTCATTTTCACTTGCTCAAGACTCCAGTTGCATCATTTGCAGTTTCATGTATAGTTTCATTTTCTTCCTGTGTTCTTGCTTCATAAGCTTGACCATGTGTAGTTGCTTGAACATTTTCAGCCATTGTACTTCATAATGGGGTTATATCAAGGCTCGTTTTTCTTTTCCTATATATTGTTGCCTGTTAAGAAACTAAGTGGGTCACAAAAAGGTTCAAATCGAAAACCCCAAACCTATTAGATGCTATGAAGTAGTTATGCATCCTGAAAATGATGCTATTGTGGACAAGTCTACAAACCCAATCAAGGCAATTTCAAAAGTTCATGCAACCAAATCGAAAATTCATAAGCAACAAGTTAATTTGATAACAAGAAGTTCAACCTACAAGTTATGTTTTGCATAAAACGTTGATCTCAATTTCACCTTTTGACAAAATTGCTCTTGATTTCATTTCTATTGAACGTTAGTGTTTTAATTTTGGATTTCTTAAACAACCATTAACGAGAACTATCATTCAGCAAACACTTTTTAAAAATATCACACCTTGATACAAAACTCAATTAAAACATAGTAACAACATTTTAAATTGACAAAAAGACCAAAATAATTTATAAATACCAATCCAATGAAAGTCAACACAACACTCTCAGTACAAAATTGGGTCAACACCAAGTTTCTTGTATCTCTCAGTGTGTAATATCAAAAGCCCCAAAACACACAAAAAACATAATAAAATAACAACTATAATCTATGATCTATTGCCATTTTTCTTTCCTTTCTTGAAGCTTTGCTTTGATGATGGATGTGGGGTTGCTGTTTGTCCACCTTTCTTCCCATCTACAAATATCATTTATAAATTCATATCATTCAATAAGTAAACATTATAAAACTAAAATAAAAAATATATATATTTAACTGATTCCAAGAATTAAAAATAAAACTAAACCTGATTTTTGAGGAGTGTTGGATTTTGCTTTCTTTGCAGGAACTGGTGTCTTGGGTGCACTTTCAGCAGGTCTTTTTGCAGCTTGAACAGGTTTCTTCACAGGCTTCACTTCCACCTTCAATTACATCAAGAAATAAATTAAGTAAATTTTTTATATTCAAAGAAGTAAATAAATTATGTTACCTTTTTCTCTTCTTCTTCTTCTTCTTCTTCATCCGAGTCATCTGAGTCAACCATGTCATCATCCTCAGAGTCGTCATCTTCTTCAGAGTCATCTTCTTCAGTTACATCCTTCAAAGATGCTTTTGGTTTACCTTGAGGTGCACCTGAATATTCAAACACAGACATTTCAATCTTCATATTCTAAAATGTCCCAAATTCTGAAATCTTGAATGGGAATTTTACTTACCATTTGCAAGAAAGTTCATTGCTTCATCTTCATCAGAAGAATCTAAAGACAATGAAATTTAATCTGAGATTAGCATGAGAGGATTGTGAAACAATTTAGATTATATAAAATCAATTTCAGCGAATACTTACCACATTCATAGTCTTCATCCGTGAATCCAAAAGAACAAATAAGGTTAAGGAAAAGACGATTCGTATAAACTTAAATGATTAAAAGGTAAAAAGGATGAAATTATTCATCAACAAAGGATATTCGATTGGGTTATCTGCAATGTATCCGCAGAAATAAACGCTGCCATCTTTCCAGCCATGAGAAAGCTCGAGGTCTTGCTCGAATAGCAAATCAAACATAACTTGTGGTGCACGTTCAGAAGATAAAGTTGCTAGAACGTACTTTTGATTATTAAAGTGAGCACGAACAGCGACATTCTCAACCTTTTTCCCATTCTTCACCTCTCCCAAAGCAACCTGAAAGTGATAATATGCTGTGTTGAGTTCGTATTTCATATAGAATAAGATTCGGATATGAAATTTCTGAATTCGCAAATCAAATACAGTTTGTTTGAGTAAATCCAGAGATTAATTTATGAAAAAGGAAGCAACTTGATATGAATCGAATGTTCATACCTGAGAGATGTGAAGGAGCTTGAAATCCTCGACTGTGACTTTAAGGGTTTCATTAGGTTTAACCTCAACACCTAGCAAAAACGACAAAAATTCGAATTGAATATTTGCACGTAACAAAAACCAGAAACTAAAACAAGGTTTACAGTAATTGCGACAACAGATAGATCGAAGAACACCGAAAAACTTACTACGATTTTGTAATTAAATAAAGATATAAGATGCATAAAACGAAATAAATATTACCCCAAAATTCCATTGTTGCTCGGATGCGATTGGGAGAATGAAAGAGTGTGTGTTTGAAAGAGTTCAGAAAAAGGCGGATGAAGAGAAGACGTTTGAAAGAAGTATAAATAGGTGAAGTTGCCGTTGAAGGTTTAGGGTTTATCAAAGGGTTTTGGGATCTTTTGATTTTCGAATTGATTTTGGGCCGTATTTTTTAGAGCTTTTGTATTGGGCCTGAATTGTAAATAATTAAATAAATATGAGCGTTCATATATTTTCCTTCTAGCCATATTGGAGTGTGCTTTGTGCCATGGCCCATAATCACCCATTCACTTTCAAAATGTAAGGCAACTTAACATCACTATGGGCTGGCTTTAAAAATGGTATTTTAAAAGAACTATTTGTGACTATTTTTGAGGGTATGTTGCGTGGCGTAGCCATTAAATCTTTTTTTTAAAGAATTTTTTTTAATATAAATTTGTTTGAATTTTTCAACAACATGTTTATTATTATTAACAATATTATGAAAGATATTATAAACAATTCAAGTATGTTTTAAATAATTTCAAAACTAATCTTGTAAATTTCAAATAAATATTTTTTTTGTGTTACATTATCTATAACAAAATATTAAGAACTTATAAAGTTGTTAAAACTAACTGAAGAAATTACCATCGTCTTGGAAAATTTAACAAAATGGATATTGTGTTCGCTAAATTAACAATTTTATTTATTGTTATTTAGTAATTATTATGTTTAATTATTTTATATAAATGTCTTTTTAATCAAAGAAATCTCCAGAAAAGTTCCAAAATTTTAGTCTAATTTATGAAAAAATCCTGAATTAATTTTTGTTTACAGAAAAGCACAGAATACCGGCTAAAACTTCGAAAAAACCCTTTTTGGCCGGTTTCAAAGATTTAACCGGTATTCTGTCCTTTTTCGTTAGTTTGCTCAAAATATTAGGACTTTTCTGAAAATTACCCGATAATCAAAATATTGGGATTTTTTTTGAAAATTACTATGGAATTGATATATATTATTATTAACAAATCATTTATAAACATAATTTTTTTGTTATAAACAAAGGAAATACATTTGTTGATACTTTCTATGAATAAAATGGTCGACTATGTACTTCTTTATTGTTTGTTGACCACTTCAAAGTTTCTATGTTCTTCCTATGTATCGTTGTGGGTGTCATAGTGAGAACTACTCTGTTAGACGTGACCAATACAAGAGTTGATAATATTTATTAATACACAATCAATAAGGTTTTGCTTGCTATTAGGCATAATGTTATATGATCACGTGTTATTAGAAAATGTCATTACACGAACATATAGATCTTTCATTATGTTCTTTAACCTAACTACCACCTAACCTCTAAACATTACCCCGCAACAACCATAAAATTACACACATCTATCGAGAGTGAAAAGTAAACTTTGAATGGCAATTTAAATAGATAATCACCCTTCACTTGTTTCAATATAAATTATCATTCACGGGTCACTTTTCACATTTTATAGATATGTGTTAGCCGATGGTTGCTAACATGTAAGGTATGAATGTTGGTTGGTAGTTAGGTTAAACAACATAAGAGAAACACCAACATTAGAGGACTGTTAACTAAGTTTATCTCACCATCATATCCACAACGTTGCATATGAAGAACGTTGAGAGTTTGAGCGGTCAGGAAGCAATAGAGTACTTAGACCACCAATTTATTCCTAGAAATTAGGAACAAATGTATTTACTTTTTTTATAATAAAAAATATTTTTTATGTTTATAAATGATTTGTTAATATTTTTCATTAAACTTCCAATAGTTGGCTGGCATCTTATTTTTGATGTATAGTAGGATTGCGGATGGATTCAAGTTGGGGTTTGTGTTAGGGCCTCGCTACTTGTTCTTGTATGATGAAGGCTTTGTGGTTTGAAGCATGAACCGAACACCTGATTGGATGTAGTTGGATGCAGGTTTCGACTCAGGATGAGTGGGGTTATGATGGTTTAGGTGTGGTTAGACCATGGTGTTTACCATGGTTGGTTAGAAGTGTTGTAAGACTGAAATAGGATCGTGGAATTTACCAGTTTGAGGTAGTCATGAGTATAAAGGGGGATCAGTTCGTGCCTTGGGCATGACAGATAAGATTGTCAGAGAGAATTTCTATTTTTTAGGTTGAGGACCATTGGGGTATGAGGTGGATTCGTGCTCGTGTAGCTCTAGATGGGTGGGACACATAGGTGAGGCCCGCTCTATGGTATAGTTTAGGTAGGACTCGTAGGCAAGGAATGTGTGTATATGGCAATGCAGGTGGGACATGGTAAAGATCGTTGGGTCGAGGTATTGGATCTTGGTTTGCAAGATTGAGTGTGTGGTTAGTGAGTGGCGTAAAGGGATGCTTAGGCTAGGATATCCTTATCATTTAGATTCTTGGAAAGGGTATAAAGGTCTTTTCCCTAGGTTGGACACTTAGCATGGTTTAGGATCCGATTATTGACTGTATGATTATTTTGTGATTTTTAGTGTGGGGATTTTAGTGGACCAACAATCATATATTCTTTCTGCGAGAATCGACAGTGCAAGGTGAGTTTCTTCACTTAGTTTAGCGGCTGGAAGGCACCATTAAAAACTTCCGAATTTAAATACTTAATTCATGAAAGCCCCGAACCATCACATTTTTTAGTGCGGGAATTAAGTATTTAAATTCTGAATGTTTTAAGGTGAAGGGTAGTTATTGGGCAT